GTGTGTCTAAGAGGATACGTTAGGTGTAGAGCAGAGAGCGTCATCATAATGATGGCACGTACATATCACCAACGCGCTGTTCCTTTAACCATTTTTTGATCTTCATCTTGGTGCCCCTAATCGTCACCGTATCGGAGAACACCTCATTCTCTTCGATGACGATAACGACTTCATCTCCTCTAGCGACTTGTATCCTCAACGCGGTGGTCCCCGTTTTGTGGGAGATATTGTACGCGAGCCGACCGTCAGGGTATGAGACGGTCGTCTTGATTACGCTCTTGCTGTCAAAGTGGAGGACGGTGGGCGGGGAGGGGTTTACGAGCGTAAGAGTGCTGTCCATCATACGTGATACAGTAAGTACTAAGCAGCGCGCAGCATCCTATACTAGCTCGCTGGAAGCTCGGGAAAACTAACACAGCCTGGAGGATCGTGACGTGCACATGGCTTGATGGAAGGATTCACCTTGGCAGTGCAAGGGAGGTGAGTTCATGTCGCCGGAGGACCCAGACCTTGCTTGATCTACGAAGCCGATCAACGAACGGAAACACATGCCTCGGTAAATAACTGGACGCATTCAGCAGCGGTAACGTGATGGTGAAAGCCAAGTGGTAGGTGATCGGACGGGCCGAAGGGTTGCGTTTTTCTTCTTTTACCATCATGAGCAATTCTCTTCCGCACGCGTACTAGGTTGCTTTTCGCTCGAGCCTCAGGTGAAAATGTGCCTACATCTTTTTTCAGCGCGATAAGACCAGAGCGGTCCGAATCCGTGTCGGATCGGGTGAGCTGGGAGGGATGCCGCTGCTACACCACTGGCAGACGCTCGAGGTAGTCCTGGCGTACAGACTATGATGATCGTGTCGTGTATTCAGCAGCAAGCGTGTACACGGAACTTTGGCTTTGATTTCCTTCCTAGGCTGCTTTGTTCAATTTGCTTCTGGGATACTCGGGACGCTCTACAAACGGTGGTTTCAAGGCAGATGTGATTTTGATGATCATTTTGCAGATAGAATGTCTTGCGGCCGCTCTTGACCGGCGAACTTCGCTGTACACGCTACTCTGAGTCTATTTTCGCGTGGCGCACTGTTGCGAATGAACGCGCGCAGGCAGCAAATTCGAATCACTGAAATAGCCATTTGTTTGCGTTCGTGATCCGATGTGCAGTCTTGGACTGTTACGTTAAATGCTCTAGCATATCTAATGCCCAACTTTTGTCACATTTGAACAGCAACAGATATCCTCCTCTCGCCTACTCGATCACCCCAATCATGTCCTCGCGCAAAATCCTCATGCTTCACGGGTACGAAATCTCCACGATACTCGTCGTCTGACTACTCATCAAGGTTAACACAGCTACGGTCAAAACGCGTACTTGATGAGTCGCTATGTACGTGAATTCAAAATTGCCTGAACAGCGCTGAAGAACTTTCAAGATGGCCTCAATTACCAATGACCTTGCCGGCGAGGACATTGAATTCCGTGCGCGTCCCAAACGTTTCTCTCTACCTCTCGTCTTCTTATTTAGTGACAGAGTATCTCGACGCCCCGTTCTCATTGACACCTGCGGACTTGAATGCGGCTCATGCCTCCTCACCGTCGCCGCCCAAGAGCACGCCGGTTTGCAGCGTACCATCGACGACGCCCTCTGCTAGTGACTCTCCCAGGGGCTGGTTCACGATCGTCAACTTTGGAGGCAACACGATGGAGGGTATAGAAACCTCTCTAGCACTATTGAAGAAGATGTTGAAGGAGAACCGATTCGAGGTTGGTGGTTCTTCTTTTCAAGAACTTTTTAGTCTGATGTTTGAGCTTTTCAGGCAATCATGGGATTCAGCCAAGGGCTGCGATGGCGGAATTGCTAGTTGCGATGGTAGGAGATTTTATTTCATATCTGCAGAGTCGCTTCTCAGCAGGTTCCTGTAGTTGGAACGCCCGGACCTCTACCCATTCATGGCAGACGATAATGGTGCTGCGGTTCATCCTCCCATGTACGTCGTTCGCCGTATCTATTGATTTAGCCTTAACATTCTGATTTGTAGGCAGTACATCGTTGCTGTCTCTGGATTCCTCCTTCGCGGACCATCAGCGGCATGGGACGGCCAACCCGTTAGCCCAGCTTCCCTTCGAGCGAGCTCACGACACCAGTGCTCCACGTCGTCGGTAACACAGACTTTGTCGTTCCAAGAGAACGAGCGGATATATTCATGTCTCTCCACAAGAACAAGCGCGTTGAAGAGCACATCGGAGGTATGGACTCCTTCAGCCCTTGTGAATGTCCCTTTTGATTAACTTGCGACTAGGGCACTTTGTACCTCGTCAAACCAAATGGCGAAAGTTCTTCGTCAACTTCTTTTCGCAACCCTTCGCTGAAATCGCGTCTCCCGTGCTGGCAGCGAGAGACAGTGCTGCGACCCGGCTTCCCTCCATACGCGAGGAGAGGCGGTCTGGATCATCAACGCCGGATTCAGATGGTCCTGGTACTCCTATGGAACAGGTTAGATGTGAAGGAAGTCGACTTGCAACTGGGAACGTCAAAGTTGCTGGTAGAAGAAGAGGAGGCGAGGATGTGGGACATCTATACGGGATTGGTGTATCAGGGCTAGTAATATGTATTTGAGGCTAGCTAAAGGGGTTTGTACCTAAGTTATAGACATATTTTAGAATATAATGGTTTCATCAGAGGCAAGGAGATCGATTGATACAAGAGAGGGATACGCAAAGTATCGCGACTGGACACTTCGCGTTCTTGATTGAGTACACCATCAGCGACACCATATTCAGCATTGTGTCGGTGTTCTGTAGCGTTGACCCTCTTTAATATGTCGTGCAAGCCATGAATCGGTAGTACTAGGTTGACGAGTCCCAGAATAAGGCACAGAAATCCCTTTGAGGCTTGAGCCTATCAAATGCCATCTCAACACCGCCACAGCATTCTTTGTGTTTCCAACTCTGATCTTTCATGTCGCAATCCTGGTTACCAACTATCCTCGATGATGATCAACCGATATCGGGTAAGATCGTCGGTCATGCCAGTTCCAGTCATCTTGCTAGTGCTTGCCAAGGGTCCTGCCAATTCTCTCTGGGCGCCAATTCTCTCTGTACCGCGATGATATTCTGCACCTAGTTGTCGGGAAGAGATACTTACTAGGATTCTCGAGCCACGCATTTCCAGGTCCGAATCACTCCGCATCCGACTTTTCAGATCAAAACAACATGATGGACGAGCGATGTCCGCAGTGTAGCATTTGCACTGCCCTATAAGTAAGGCATTCCCTTATGCTACAGGAAGACAAGCCGGTCTCATCCTTTTCCCCATGGCGCCGGCGCTCCTACCTAACGCGCTAGCGCCAGCGATTGTTTTCGCTACTTGCTATCTCCCGCTTCGGGCTGGTTCACGTTCAAAGCTGTTGAAGGAGCCACTTCTACGAAAATGCTCCTGGCGGGGTTTTGTATAGGTACGAGGAATGTTCGCATCAATGTCCCGCGCTGATTGCGGCATACCAGTTCGTCTTGCGGGATTCATATTACGAGCTGTGGAAAGTGCTGGCAGCGGAGACGACGCACCCTTGATATGTGGACAGAGTCATTGACTTGGCTGGACTGTTCGCGTTATTATACGCGATCTTTACGTCGGTGCTGCAGAGGTGCGTCTCTGCTTTTTTCTCTTTGAGTCCTTCGATACTCATTTGGATAGAGACTATCTTCTGGACCTTTCACCACCTTCGGCACCCATCCTGCAACGCATCCTGAAGCTGCGGCGTCCGCTATTCATTTCCTTTGGAATGAGTGGGATGGTATTTGGTATCGCTGCTACCACGCAGGCCTACATATCCGATAAGACGGTCGATGTCTTGTGAAAACGACTCGACATTTTTTTGCCCTCAGCGTCTGTCGATATTGCAGACCGCTGTTCTCATTAAGCACGAGCGAGAATGTACGTGTCTTGATTTAACAATTCTGACATGACAGCTCTCAAGGCCTATAACCGGGTCCGTGGGTGGAGAACACGGCGCATTGATTTCGGTATGTATCTGTGCTGATGCTCATCCGGGAGATGCTTATAATGATCACTGTCGATACACAATGGAGACAGAGGGCGTGCGTTTCGTGTACCCGCTTGTAGCGCTCCCGGAGCTTCTAGCGGTGTTGCTTCTCTGTGCACCTGGGCTGCTGCGAAGGAGAAGTGGTGCGCTACCCACTTGAGATCCAAGGCTACATGTAGGTTACTTGCTTATATATTTATTGAAGGCGAATTTGTTCGACCACTAGCGATTGAATGATCATCTAACTAGCATGGAACAGATAGCTTTGGAGGTTTCCGAGTCTGGGCCAAACACCACGTCAAGCAAGCTGTTGGACGCGTACATCTCATATGTGGCTCAATGGCGAAGTTGATAGATGAGTGAACACCAATTGTGCGTAAAACGACCTCAGGTGAAGTAAGAACCCAGCAGACGTGTCGCAGTATCGCTAGTGGCGCTCTGATTGACGTGATCCAGGACAGCAAGAGACACACAAGTGGGTAACGGGACGCCAGGTGCTCGGCCCAAAGCTTTTCTTCCTGCCCCCATCATCGCCTGCTTTGTAATTTTTGAGGACAAAGGTATCTGTGCTTTCATGTCCATATCAAAGCTTTGGCGAAGACGACGTCCTTGCCATACTCGCCCGCGTTAGGTAACGAACGCCCTGGGCACATCGATTAAACCGGCGCCAGCTTCGTTGAATATTAAAATAGCCAATGCGGTGGCAGTGGGGACAGTGGACACAGATGGTTGGAGAATCCGCGCAAGGGTGCGCTTGGACAGATGGTCTTTGAAGTTTTTTGTTCTTGGGGATGTGTGCTTGCTACTATATCTCTCTTATCGTGGTGTCCATAAACTACTTGCAGGCCTTCGTGGCAGTTTTTGCGTCGCTCTGGGTAGTAAAGTCCTGAAATTATACACTACTGACCTGATTATGTAAGCTATCTATGCAAAAATTTGCTACCTCTTTATGTACCACCATACACTGAAGGGGAGTCGAACCCCTGCCGCTTGCTCAATCATGAGACAATTCCTCGATATGGAAGGCAAGCATGATAACCGCTTCACCATCAGTGTTATAGGGGCTTCTGCAACAACTCTATTGCCACATCGGTCATTGTAGAACTTATACAGTCTAGAGAAGAAGAAAACGAAGGGATTCTGGCAATGAGTGAAGAAAAGGTGCACAGTGTACTCGACAGTGATTAGAATGATCATCTGATGGGTAGGCTTCAGGATGTGAAGAAGCATGCCGCGAGTCTCAGGGTAGAGACCACTGATATTGGAGGTTCTTATGATTCAGAGAGACCGATTCTGAATTTCGTGTTTGTTTTTCCTTGTTGATTCCAATCAACTCTCGTCTTCGCCACGATGGCACTTGGTGCCTTTTCAATCACAGCATCGAGTGATAGTCTACTGTCACACTGCGCTGCTCGTCTCTTCATCTGGGATCTTTCGCTGATTCGTTGAGGACCCACCTGCGATCAGCATCACTCAACCCAAGGAATCTCATTAACGACCTGGACCTGAAGAGACACTGACATGGCTTAACTCCAGTGCCTGCACGATACATACATTCTGCGCCATAGATCATTCGTTTGAACAAGACTGGCTCAGCCTCCAACAAAGTTCTGACAAGCATGTGCAGTCTCCTTCTTGATCAACAGTCAGTCGTACTGCCAGCCTGTCTAATTATGTGTGGAACATTTCAGCTGCCAAAACTTGCGCATTCATATCTACGTCGCAAGGCTCATTCGGTTCCCTCATCTCAATCATGTCCTCACTCGCAGACGAACTCGGCCTCTCAGATCAGGAGGTCAGCACAATCCTCAGCGCATACCTCAACGAGGATGTCATCGGCATCTTACATACGGAATCTACGCGATGGTTTCGGGTCTACCATTCGTCACATAGGTATGATTTGCTTTGAACGCTCAAACCGTCTTTGCTCACTGCCGACCAGTCGCGCGAGGTGAATGGCACCTCCGGCGTATCGTCCTGACTGGCGTCGTATGCCTCATCTGGGCTTTGGCGACAGTCAATCTCGGGATATACTGGAACTCGCTATATACCACCTATGTAGCGCACAGTCAGACACAGGACTCGCTGCTGCGGTATATATACGGTGTTGGCAGCGAGAACTTTACTTCCCAGAGACGGACCTGAACATCGTCGTGCGCACGACCGTTGCGGTTAATGCGATGCTCGCAGAGCTGATGAATGTACGTCCAGGCTTCTTATAGAACAAGCACTGACTCCTCGGCATGCAGACTTGGCGGTGCTGGGAGTTGTATCAACGTCGCTGGATTATTGTTGTCCTTCCGCTTCTTGGCGTTATCGCTGGTTTAAGTGAGATCATTCAAGTCGTATACCTCTCGTTCATTAAATTCCTACCTCACTCAGTCAGCCATGCATTCGTCCTCGTTACGTTGTTCCCGGTCGAGGGATCCCCAGCTACCACAGCCAATTGGGCCCAGATTGACTGGACAATCGTGTACTACGGGATTACAGCGTCGATCAACATCCTCACGACGTCGTTGATTATCATTCGTATTCTCTGTGTTGGTGGTTTCAAGCACGCCCGCACGTATCGAGGTATCATAGAGATCATGGTAGAGTCTGCAGTTCTTTATTCGGGGATCTACATCGTCTACTTTTCGTTGTACGTGGGCAGCGATGGGTATGCGTTTTTCTATGTGGAGGGACTGGTGAATGCCGTTACGGTATGTTGTTTCTTCTTGGAGTGAGGTGTCGTACTGAGATAAGTATTCGTAAAGGCAGTAGCTCCGACGATGATCATCGGAAGTGCTATGGCAGGCGATACGCGCCCGGACGATGAGTGGAAGGGAAGCGAGTCGATGCCAGATATACAGACTGTCGACGGCGGTAATCTGCGATTTGCGAGTATGGCTCAGACTACGACTCAGAGTGAGGCTGTAGAGCTTCCTACGTCCTTGAGAAGTACTCAATGAAGGGCTTTGGCAGGGAAAACAGACGCCCTCCGTGGAGGAACATAAATTAGATCCCATGAAAGATCTGCTAGCTCTACGTTGTCGTTTAGCGGAACTTTTTGGATGATAAGTTCGGTACCTCAAATTGGGGGATGAATTTGGCATAAGGAATGAGGCTGCCAAAGGCCTCTGGGATGCTCCTTGGGCAGCAAATGATCTCCCGATGCAGTGTAAACCCCGTAACAAAAGCTTCTGGCCCTCAATTTCATATTGAACAAAGTACTCGTGCGGTCGTTGCCGCGCGCCTTGTTCCTCATTTGGACTACGACATCAAGGCTTTGTCATACGCTAGCTGCTGCCTCTCTGCCATGTCGACACTGTCCATTCCTATCCATATCGCCTGCATTTGTCCATATCTTTGCAAGAATGGAACACGCTGTGCCCGTCGTTTTGTTTTTAACGCGGCGGCCTTGTAACTCCACTGCGCTTTGACCAGTGGCACCGACCTGGCGTCTCTTTGGCCGCCCGACAAACGCATATAATTCCTGGAAGGAAACAAGTCTCCCCATCATGGCCCTCTTTCGCAAACTCTCCATAGTGTCTCGTCTTTTCCGAAAGGCGACGCGAACGGGCAAGAGCACTCGCAGCAGCAATGCATCCACCATCTCCATATCGTCTGATGCATCGTCATCTACCGCGTCTTCATCCACGGTCTCGGATTCGTCGTCCTCGATTCCTCCAATCTCGTCTCCGCCACTAAAGCGCTATGCTGATGTTGGTGTTCAAACCGAGTTGTCGCCCGACGAGGCTGTTGTTGGATCGTCATCCAGCCACCTCACTGCATTAATCTTGTACACCCCACCATCGTGCCCCACAATCCCGGACGAAGACACTGCGATATCATTACACACACCTTCTGTCCAGCCCACTCCTCAGCTACTCTTACTACCCAACCTTGAAGCGCCGCGACCCACTGTAGTCCCCTTCCCCCAGTCCATCTCCATTCGAGGTATGCACATCGTGTTTCTGAGACGACTTGGCTCTGGCACGTACGGTACAGTCCTCCTCGCCCAGGCGCCCGGTAGCTTGATTGCCGTCAAGACCTTCCCCAAGCGCGTCTATGTGACCCCAGGGTTCGAGGCCACGGATCACGTTGACCACCGCTTCTCCGTCAATACTGTCTTGAACGAGCAACGCGTCCTCGAGCTGCTTGGGAAGACCACCAATCCATTCGTCCCCAAGGATACATGTTTCTTGCAAGATCATGACTTTTTCTATATCCTTATGGTGAGTCTAAACCTTTTTATCTGGTACATGCGCTCATTCTCATACAGACACTCCACCGGCGAAGTCTGTACGACGAAATCCTGCGATACATCACACACACCCGATACATGCCTGACGAGACCCTTGCATATTGGTCTGCCGAACTCGTGCAAGCCGTTGCTTTCCTTCATAATCTCGGTCTCTACCATATGGACATCAAGCCCCAGAACGTCATGATCACAGACGCGGGACACCTATGCTTGATAGACTTTGGGATGACTACCGACTTTGTCGCCATCAAGTCGACGGGCGATGCGTATGGTACGCCGGGGTATGATGCGCCAGAGATCTACAAGGGTGAAGGGTATTTTGAGACGGAGCTCTTTGACGCGTATGCGGTGGGGCAGGTTTTGGCGGATATGTATTTGGCTCCTCAGGTATGCGCCTCGAGCTGTCATCCTCACCATTGGACTGACAAGTCGTAGTACAAGGCCCATTTCGAATACCCTCTCGAGTACCTTGGAATCCTTAACAAGCGGAATCCTGGTATCACGTCGATTATCATCGAGGTGTGTATCATCATGTACAATCGACGTGTTGTCACTAAGGATTTGCATGCAGCTTACGCAGAGTAATCCCAATCTGCGACGCCCTGTGTCGCATTTCTTAACGCACCCTGCGCTGCAGCCAGAGCTACCGCAGGACGTCACGTCCATGGAAGAGTGTGCGTAATGTTGTTACCCTTCGCTGTGGGATGTGAGGCTGATTTGCGGTGGATAGTTGCCCAGGCGTATATCATCGATTCGAATCAGGCAGGCACGGTCTGTGTGGTTCGTCCTAGAACGGGTGCAGATGATATGGATGTTGTCTAAACGACGCTCGCATAAATACGAGGACCCTGTGCGGCCTTAATTTCTCTTTGCCTCCTCTCGGACTGTCGATTATTATTCTAGGAGCCATAGCGCGAAAGCCTTTATAATATTTCTCGTTACTTTACTTCTTTGTAGGTACCTTTTCCGAGCAGGGTTGGTCGGCGCGAGGTGGTGTTGTGCGTGTTCTTTGTTTTGTACCAGTGTGTCGTGTGTCATAATGACAATGATGGGGATGGGGGTGCTGTGTTTGAGCAAAGGCCGGGTGACTTGAGTCGGGACGTAAGGATTTGATTGTTATGAAGGAGGGAAGATTTCTTCGGTATCTTGACACACGGACATGATGATCATAGATTTTGGCGAGGCTCGCGCACCGTGAAAACGTGGTGGTACGGCAGTGATACGTGAGTGGGCGTCTTACTCGGTTCGTGAGCATTGTACGTCTTTAGCAGATACTTATGATTGGTTCGGGTTGAAGTTGGCCAATTCTACCTAGTGCCCATCTGTCCATCTCTTGTTGATCACTTCCTGGTGCGATCTGTTCATCGCCCCTTTGATGATTCTCGCCGTGATGACAGTTGAAGATCTTGTGGCGTTTGCTGTGGATCTATCAATCGGGCATCGGTCATTCATCCCGGGAGACTATATATGAGACTTCTCTCCGCGTGATTTCTGGATTGCTATTCTCTTCCGTGATGAGGCTGCTTGATGGAATACCCCCACGACTGGTGCAGTACGCCGCTATCGCGCTCGTCCTCGTGAACATTAAATCGTTTCCCTTGTCATGGCACTGTACGTTCTAACTACGTCTTTCCATTGGTATCCTGACGAAAAGCGAATTGATATATAGTGCGCACACTTTTACCGATATGTCGATTCTTTCTGTCCAGGAGTCTACACCGACTTTCCCTGGTATTCCGATCGGAGAAGAGAGGAAGGCGCGGGTGCAGAGGTGGTGGCACGAGAGGTCTCCTGTGGGGCGTAGCCCGTT